ACGGACCACAGAATCATAAGGCGCACATGGACAAATTGATAGAATACTGTGAACGCGGTGTGGCCGAGGGCGCCAAGCTCGTCTATGGCGGCTGTCGTGTGCCCAATATGAAGGGCTATTTCTTTACGCCCACCGTCTTCACAGATGTCGAGGACAATATGTTCATAGCCCAAGAGGAATCCTTTGGTCCCATTATGATCATATCCAAATTCAATGGCAGCGACGTCGACTCGGTGATGACGCGCGCCAATCGCTCGGAATATGGCCTAGCCAGCGGCGTCTTCACCAAGGACATTAGCAAAGCCCTAAGCTTTGCCGATCGCATCGAGGCCGGCACCGTCTTCGTTAATGTCTATAATAAAACAGATGTGGCTGCTCCCTTTGGCGGCTTCAAGCAGAGCGGCTTCGGCAAGGATCTCGGCCAGGAGGCACTAAACGAGTATCTGAAGACCAAGTGCGTTACGATCGAGTACTGAACAAATCTTCATAGTTTACGTACATTTCTAGAATTCTAATAATAGAGCACAAAAGACTTAATCCAATGCATATATATACATATATATAAATATATATTATAGTGTAGATTTTAGGTAAATAGTATTAGGCGCWGCTATATATCATCTATGTATATATATTAAAATTCAATAAAAATATTCATTTGTAATTTAATATTTATTTATTTCATAATATTATTCTTTTTCAGTATTATGTATATTTTTAAGGAATTGGTATTCTGCTATTAATTGATATTTATTATAAGCTTTGAGTCGAAAATCGGCAATTTTTGTAATCTGTCGAGCAAAGATTTTCATTCAGAAAGTTTTAAAGATATTATTTTAAAATCTAGGTATATGTTATCACTAACTGAATCGTTCAGCTGCTGAAATAGATTTTCATATCTATACAAACAGATAATCGTCCATAATAGAACCCATATTCCACTCTATATGCAAGTGGATCCACAAGTTGACCTCGTTTGCTTAAATTCTTTATCAAAACAAAAATTTGCATACGGTCTTAATAGACGATGCAATCGCTGCTGTCTAAGCAATATTTCCATAAAATTTCCATTTGTCTAAAACAACTTCAACCTCCCTCCTCCACCGCTGACGCTCCACCCCTGAATTTCTTTTGCAATTGGCGTTCGCCTAAAAATATGCAGAAATTCCCCTCACCGATTGCAGCGATTCACGCTCTTGTTCTTCCTTTGTCAACACTTCAAGCGCAAACTTTTGACAGCTAATGTGGGTCAGAAAGAAATGACTGAAAGTTGCATTATTGCTTTATGGCTGCCAACATTTAAATTTGCAATATTTTTTATTTTACTTTTTATATAGAGTTGCATGCAAGCAATTCGCATTAGCTGAACATATGAAACATAACAACTATGCGGCGTATACGTAATACATGTATTTGATTTGATTTCCACCTCATGCACCCTCTCTTTCTGTCTCTCTCTCTCTCCTTCTGCCTCTCGATTGCTCACTCATACACTTTCTCTATCACACACTTCCTCTATCCGATTCCCTACATTTCCTGTTTGCTATCTAACATGTAATTGCATTAACCGTTGAAGCATGTGCCTTGTTCTATTATCGTTCAGGCGAACTTGTGTGTGTGGGTACGTGTAACTGTGTGAAAGTGTGTGAGTGTATACTCATCCTGTCGTCTGCTTCAGCGTAATTTATGCAACATCTATTTGTATCTGTATCTGCATATGTATCTGTGTCTGTATCTGTATCTGTATGTGAATTTGTATCTGTATCTGTATCTGTATCTGTATCTGTATCTGTATCTGTATCTGTATCTGTATCTGTATCTGTATCTGTATCTGTATCTGTATCTGCATCTGTATCTGTATCTGTATCTGTATCTGTATCTGTATCTGTATCTGTATCTGTATCTGTATCTGTATCTGTATGTGAATTTGTATCTGTATCTGTATCTGTATCTGTATCTGTATCTGTATCTGTATCTGTATCTGTATCTGTATCTGTATCTGTATCTGTATCT